GCGATGCTGTTTGCCAGTGGGGTTAGTTAGTAATGTCAGTGCTATGCAGTTGAGTCTTTGTAGGCATCATGACAAATGAGATTTTTAAGGAGGGATTTGAAGGAAGATAATGAGGTAACTTGGCAGATGTTTATGGAGAGCTCCTCCCAAGCGTGTAATAATCTAGTTTTCTCATGTAAAAGAAATGATACAAACCAGAACATATTTCTGGGACCCACGCATTCACTCTCTGCATCGTCAAGGAGCTTCAATGACAGCAAAGAATTATTAATGGCAATAACGTTGTCGTATAGTTCCCACTAATGGTAGGAAATAATTGTGAGCAGCAATAGCAGCATCATATAGTTGATGCTTTGGATATTACAAACAAAGTCGTTGCAATATATGGATTTGGCTTCTACAGGAAAATAATTACATGAAAACAGTTTCTGGTGAGCTCGAAGATTTAGAGATGAATCCTGGAGAATCAAGTGGCTGGTGTTGAGCAGCGGATGGGGTTGCGTGGGTGCGACTTTGGTGGCTATGATGGAACAAGAGGAGGAATTACTTTAGACTCTTTGTGAGCAGCCATGTGTGTTTGAGGGACAATTTCTATGGGTGTACAGCTTGTTGCTGGAGCCTGAGCAAAGCCTTTGGGCTCAGGTTTATACCAAGAAAGAAGGCTGACCTTAGGGGCTCAAAACCGGTAACTGCGCCCTGGAGTGTCACCAGAAGCACCTTCAAGGGAAGTTGCTAAAGGCTGATGGAAGTCCTTGGCTCGGGGCTGCACGCAGAGGGGTTTCTGTGTAGATTTTGTCAAGGATCACTTTACACCAACGTGAAGAGGAAAAAAGGCCTGTATGGGTAAGTGAAGAACAAACCGAATCTTAAAAGACCTCTGGGATTTGCAAGTCAACTTCAAGTGTTAAAATTAGTCCCAGGGATGGAGGTAAGAACCGCACACCCTGGCACCTCTGGCTGTTATTTGCCCTTCAGGTAGACCACTGACTACTTACACAGCCATGATCAAAACCTTTTGGTGTTTTGTAGTTTTCAGACTGGAACAAACTGCTTCTGAAGCCTTATTAGACACTTCTTGCTCTATCTTTGTTGTACCGCGGTATGTACAACAACACTGCACTATAAAAGTATGCAATGTGAGATTAAAAGTTAATAAACACGGTCATTCTGATTCTTTACATCTGAGCTGTAAATAGATAAAAGATCCCAATGTCTTGTAATAGGGGGGAAAAAAAAGCCTCCTTGAAGGAAAAAGCTTGGGGAGTTGTAGTTTGAACCCCTTTCTCCCTCGAGCTGTACGTTGTACTTCGTAAAGACTTTTTTGGAGGCTGCTTTTGTTTGTGTTTGTTGCAGGGGTGTAATTACAAAGCCGGTGCGCAGGTTGTGTTTCTGAGTGATAACATGATTCCTGGGTTGTTGGAGGGATGCAGCTATGTGCCCCTGAGATGTTCGTTATCTCGCAGCTGCACACTTTGTCTGACTCTGTTGCTTAATCATCACCTGCTTTTTTTTGCTGTCTGTCTTTTAGTGTTTTTAATCTGGGATAATATCTCTTTGAAAAGCAAACCTCTCAGTATAAAAGAAAACCTTTGGATAAAAAACTGCTTAAAGGAGCTGGCTACGCTCAGGGAGACATGCTATGGGTTGTAATTTACCTCGGTGTAACGTATTAGCTGTGACTTGATATATCGCTGTCTTGTTTTGCAGCTCATTTCAACAGCAACAACAGCGGTTCATGCACGCTCTCCCGGGAGCTGGCTCGCTTGCGTTTCGCGTGTTTGTGTTTAGAGGAGGGTTTTAGCAGAGTTGCAAGAAGCTGAGTCGTATCACAGCTTGTTCTAGGTGCTGGTCCAACCCAAGCACCTCATTAATCCAGTTGCTCAAGCTAAAGACAGGTTGCTCAATTGTCGCTGACCTGGTGCTGTCCCACTGGTGTTCAGGTCCGAGGCTTTCAGGCCCTGCCAGGGCGTGGAGGAGAGCAGCAAACCTCGGGTTGTCTGTGTTTGGCTTTTGGTGAACCAAATGAACCTGAGACTTGCAGCCAAACGCACCTTCTGGGACCAGCTTTGCCTGTAATCCTGGCTGAGAACTGATCCATGCACCTGCTCCCCTTTTCACAGTTTCCTCTTCAATATTTGCAAGCAAACATTAAAAGCTTCAGGACTCACCTGGTTCTGAGTCTCGCTGCAAAAATTCTCATAGTCATTTGTCGCCTGTTGAAGGAGTGTCTTTTGTAAGCCCATTCTGCAGAAATCCAGCCCGCGATGGCTTTGGTGCTTCAGGGAGGCGAGAACGTGGGACAAGGGAGTGCTGGTGTCCCCCGTGGCACTGGAGCAGTCCCAGCCCCGACTCCTGGGTCCGCCAGCTTTCAGCGTTTCTGATAACAGCCTTGGGCTCTGTAGACTTTTCCCACCCAGCTCAGCCTGGCAAACACAACTATGTTTTCTTTAGGGGTGTAGAGGAGGTGCGGTCCGCTCCCGAGGGCCACCTTGGCATGGTCGTACGAGAGATTTTCTGCTGTTGGTAGTTCCTTGAGCTCCTCTGGTGCCCTTGGTCTTTGCTCCTTGCTTTGTGCGGCACCAGACAGTTCCCACCTTTAGTTCTGG